GCATGTGGACCTGATGGTATCCCTGTAATAGCCCTTAAGAAAAATGCTCCTGAACTGGTTCCTTTTCTCTCTAAACTGTACAATGAATATATTGCTGCCTCTTGCTTTCCTGCTTGGTGGAAATCCTCTCTTGTTGTCTCAGCCTTTAAGAACTTAGGTGAACAGTTTGAGCCTTCAAACTATTCATGTAATAATGTTCTCTTGAACTGGCTCATGTTCTCTAAGCTTTACAAATAATGCCTGGTTGCTTCATACTTTCATGTTTGTAGGAAATCCTATCCTGTAGTTTCAGTCTTTAAGAGCTCAGCTTCTAACTATTAGCTTATTGGCCTTCTACATTTTTGGCAAAGTACTAGAGGCCCTAATCAATTCTGAACTGGCACTCCAGCTTCAGTTGCTTTCTCATCACTGTAATATATCTTTGTGTCTTTGCTATAAATACTTTCATGGTAACTGTTCTAATGAACTTTGCTCGATGATACCTAGATTTATGTATTCAAGCACAGTACTCAATTGGCAACAAGGTCTCCTCACTTTATAATTAAGTTGGCTAGATGTAACCATAAGTTCTATGTCAACAGTTTCTTTTCACTTGTCAAATTCTCTTCTGGCTTCTTGCTTTCCAGCCAAATTTGAACTTCAAAAATTTAAATGCAGTGTCAATCAATATCTACTATCTTCTTGATTCCTGTTCTTTTATTGTTCTCCGTCCTTAATAATGTTTTTATTTTTCTTATTCTTTCACACTCAGTAACTCACTTGGCTTTATTGCTCTGCTTGAAGTAAAATGATTAAACAAATGACAAGGATATGTTTCCTGTGATGGCTTCAAATTATGATGCTATTGTGATTTTTTTTTTTTTTGCTGTTCTCTACATCTTAATACATTGTCTTGACTTCATTAATTTAATTTCCCATTTTCCAGAGAAATAGGTTTCTCAGAGAACTAGTTTTTAATTTTCTTTGTTGTTTCATATTTTCTCTTCCATTTTCCTTTCTTTTCTGTTTGTTTACTTCTTGTATCAGTGGAAGAATCTAGGTGCTCTTTGAATGGTCTCATATGCTTCACCTAATGAAAATTCTTCTTCTATGTGCCATGTCCCTTCAGGACATTGGCGATCATGGTTTCCACAATTTCCTGTCTTTTGTAGCTCTTAATAAATTAGTCTTTTTGTTATTTTTCCTAAACCCTGCTACATCACCTACTTACTCTATCTTGCTAGGTAGGTTATGCGTTGTTTTCTTCTATCCCTCTTGTCTGCAATCTGAAAGAATGGTTTCTTTCAGTATCAGCTCTTTGCAGAAAGGCAAACAATTGATTTGAATGAATGTTGCTTTCAGTGAGATAAACAAACCACAACTAGTTAAGAAAAGTAGCATAATATGCCATAACAATAACACTAAACTACATGTTTCTTTGATGACCAGACAAAAACTGTTAGAGCTTAGCTGGAAAATTTTTATTTAGCAGCTATATTTAGAAGATATTGCACTTTTAGATTATTTTTTATTATATTCTTTGCAGAATTATCTTGGATTTTTAAAACATTTGGTTCTCTGGAATATTGCAAATGTACTTTTAAGCATTTCCTTTGTTTCTAAGACTTATGAAGTAGCCTGAAAGATGACAGAAGATAAAACAAATTGGTTGATATTTTGTTCAATCAAATTAATGAAGAATATAAAGTATTTGTCTTTTATTTTTAATTAAAACCAAATGAACTTTGTTTTCTTATTCAATAAAACCAGTTTTAAACGTCTTCCTTTCATAAAAGTCATTGAAAGTATATATTTCTTTTTGATTTTTCACTGGAAAAGACAAATAGACAAAATTCATTTGGCTTACAGTATAATCTAAATGGAAAATATAGTATGTTGAAGAGCTAATGTCAGTCTGCATCTTTTATTCATGTTCTAAAAATTGCACAAAGATATTTTACCTTAATGTAACTTCACTGGGCAGAATTTATAACCCTCAAACCAGTAACCAAATTAATGATGCTAATTATTATTTATTCAGCTGGAGAAAATTCTTTGATTGCCAGTCTATAAAATTAACATTGCAAAGGATTACATGACTATCTGCTTCCTTGTAGAAATGATTAAGTTCTGTTTTTCAAAAACTGTTTGTTTAGTTACCTTTCAGTTAAGCAAGAATAATTTCCACTAAAAAAGATTAAGCATGTGATGTTTTGCCTACTGCATATGCACATGATTGTGCAATTGCATGTATCAATGAGAAATTTGACCTGCTTGCAGCCCATATAAATACAATTAAATATTGTGGATTAAGGTTTTTGATATAGGTAAAAATTTTGAAGATTATTTGATTGTTTGTTTAAAACTTATGAAAGGTGTACATAATATAATTTCAGAAAAATATACAACTTTTCTGCATGAGTTTTCCTAATATTCCAAATATTCACTGATGTTATTCAAACAAAAACAGTACCCTATTCATGGTGGATAGAGCTTTATATCACACTGCAAAAAGTTAAGTGACTCTCATTGTCAAGTCCTTCACCTGACATGAATTCTACTGAATACATCTGAGCCATTTTGGGTTTGAAATAAGTCAAAAATACTAAATGAGAGTTACTTTCACACAAGATAGCAAATTTGATGAATTAAATGTCCTAAAGAGTAAAAGTTTCCTGTGTACTTTTTCCTTTTACTGTATTGAAAACAAAAATCTGGTTTATGCATAGATAAATTTCCTCAGCTTCATTGCACACCTTCCTTGTTTTCAATGACCAGTTTTGAACACAAATTCTATAAGCACCCACCAAACTATTTTAGCTTCTTGTGTTCAACATAAACTGAATAACTTATTTATTTAATCAAAAAATTTTACAGTACATGTACAATTCATTTTTTCAATTTTTCATGCATGCAGATTGTACATTTGAATCAGTGCAATCCCCAAATAAATGAAACTTTGGAACTCATGATATTTTTTCCAATTTTTAATCACTAAAAGGGAAAATAAAACATTTTCAGTTAAAATCATTACAATTCTTAAGAAAACAATTAGCTAGCAAAATACTTGGTATTTTGCACATTTATCTCACATCCAAGCACAATGTTTATTTGATTGTTGAATGACATGTATAGTCAAAGACAATAATGAATTAAAAACTCCTGTGGAATGGGTTAACATCATCACTATGAATGAATTAATCAATAAAGGCCAGCTTCTGTCATCATTTAAAAAAGACAAGACAGGGTAATACAGTCTTTGTAGCAGCATAAACAAAGTAAATAAGAGGAAAGGAAACATTTGATTCTGTAATTTATAGTAAAAAATTTGAATAAATTGAAAAAAGGGAAAACTGATGTCTGGATAATAGTGACCACCTTTACTCTTTAAGAGTCAGACACAAAATGATATGATTTTTTATAAAAAATAAGTTCCTGGCAGCATGTTCCAGCGACAAGTGAAAAATGAGTGGTAAAACAGGAGATATATTTTAGCCAATCAAATGCTTTACTGATAACTAATTTCAATGTCCTACTCTGGGACCAACCTGAGACCTATTTAATGAATACAAACACAAAAAAAAGCAAATTATTTTTAATGATTTTTTTCATAATGTACCCTAAAATCTTCAGTATAACTACAAAATTTATTATTTAGGTTGGCTAGTGCAGAATGTCATAAGGTTCAGTAAGAGAGACAAGCAACATCATAAGGACAAATTCACTTAGTTGGATTTGCTTTGAAATTCTCAAAAAGTTATGAATTATGATAAACATGTACCAATACCTGTTTATATCTCTGAGATGAGGTATTATGACTACTTGCATTATTTATATTATTCGGGCTGTTATCCTCATCTCCATTGCCATATTCACAATGTTTTGGCCGTTATACACTCCGGCTTCTTCAGATGATTGGAATTTCAGACCAAACCCTTTATTTTGTGGATAAGACCTTGATTAGATCCAGTGACTACACCCAAAGACTTGTGAATTCAGTACAAGGCCACAGCAGTGGGGAACAAAAACTTGGAGAGTTGAGTTAAAGGTAAATAAATGAGACACCCGGAAAATGCATGGCACGTGAAACTAGAGCAATCTATACCGGTGGACGAAATAAAGGGTTCGGATCGAAATTCCAATCACCTGAAGAAGGCCGGAGCGTACAACGGGCGAAAGGTTGTGAATATGGAAGTGAAGATAAGGATAACAGTCCGAATAATGTAAATAATGCAAGGATCAATACATTTAAAAAAAAAACTGAAAAAGGAAAATACTGAAGAATACTTTTTTGTTGCACATAATTAATTACTAAATGATTTCAATTTGTGAATGATATGGAAAATAGTGCTAAGTTACTTCCCTTGAACTTCCAAATCAGAAAGGAAAATCTTTAAATAAATTATTTCTCTGAAAATATTTCTGTGTATGGACTTAACTTTCTCCTTTTTTTTCACTTAAAACTTCTGTTTATTGCGCTTCACGAAAATAAAACTAACAGTAACTATAGGATTGGAAGGAACTGAGCCTAGATAATGTTTCACTGTTTATAGAACTTTTGTTTGATCCATTTGATTAAAGAACCTTGTGTAAATCTGTAAGGACAATATGAATAAAGAAAAACAAAAGGAAAATTTATCATAGACGATGCATTTCATCCTCTGGAGGACATTATAAAGACAAATGCATCAATAAAGGACCACACACGCGCGCACGCGCGTACACAGTTAGGTGTGACAAGAAAAAAAAACGAAAATAAGGAACCAGATGTTTTCCTGCTACTCTTTCCTTAAACCCCTACCACTCCGACTTCATTTCGTAGCCGGATTCTTTGCTGCTCAAAATATTATTTTACTCTTACACAAGTTCACAAATAAGGTTCGAGAAAGAAAGAAAGAAAGAAAGAAAGAAAGAAAGAAAGAAAGAAAGAAATGTAATTTTTTTTAATTATTGGATTTTCTCTTTTTTCCCTCTTTAACGATGCGAGCGTCTACAGCCCAATTCTTGGTAAACTGATCAAGTTTCTGTCGTCTTCCCAAGGTTCCACCTTAATGTTCTCTCCTTCTCCTACAACTCTCTCTCTCTCTGTCTGTCTGTCTGTCTGTCTGTCTGTCTCTCTCTCTCTCTCTCTCTCTCTCTCTCTCTCTCTCTCTCTCTCTCTCTCTTTATAACATACTCCCTTTCTTCGAAAATTTATCAATTTTGCTGCCTTTGCACTCTGTCTACTGCCAAGCAACTTCTAGTTTTGTTCCTCACCTCTTCCCTCCAAAGTATACATAGATGTATGGGGCGATAATTTTTTAAAATGTTTCTTCCGCAGTAAAAAGAAAATAAACTGACCATGCGTGCCATCCGCATCGTGAAGAATATTGTTCAGGCGCAGACATCAGAAAATCACTGGAAGAAAGTCGAGGACAAGAAACAAGGACATTTCCAGAGAAGTGACATTTTCATATCACCATTTATTTGTACAATAGAAAAACAATTGAATTGTGTATTTCTTTAAAAATTACCCTTAAGTAAGTTTCTTTAAAATTACGAAATCCAAAAGCTACAAGTAAAAAAAGGGTTCCAGTGTTTATTATTAGATATTCCTTTGCGCTGACTTAACAATTTTAGTAGAAAAAGAAGAGGAACTATTATTTTGGAATCACGTGATCTTTGAATAAATCCCACCCAAACTCTTGAGTGATTCAAAACAGAAACAAAATTTGCAACAACACGTGCCAATTTTATTTCGGAATTTACATACTTCCTTTTTTCAGAAAGAAAAAAAAAAGAAATTGTTGATTACATATTTTTCTTTGCGAATGTATTCGTACACGTGTTCAAATGTTGTGCATATTTTCGCTTGTGTCAACCGCCTTTTCCTAAAACCCAACCTCAAGAAAAAAATCGTCCTAACTGGGTTGTTTTAAATGAGGCCCATATTTAACAAAATAATATCTTACATTCGCAGTTTCTTTTAACTGAATGTCTGAAATTTGATAAGTTCTTCGTTAGATATATTTCATCTGCAGTAGAAAATAATTGTGAAAAGTCAAAGACCTACTGTATTAATAAGAAAATAAGATTTTTAAAAATGTTTTTCAAAACTCTGATAGTTTCCATTTTGTTGGCTGTCTCTACTATGGTCAGTAGCCATCCACAGTGTTTGGATTTTCGTCCACCATTCAAGTCCAGAAAGATAGAATTTTGTCACCAGTACAAAACATTCGGTTGTTGCTCTAAAAAACAAGATGAGGAAATTAAATCCAATTTCAATAATATCATGTCCCAGATCACTGAAAATCAGAAACAGACATGTGGGTCTTATTTAAAAGAGTTGCTTTGTCAGACTTGTTCACCCTACTCTGCTCACATTTACAGTGCTGAGCAAACTTTAGAAGCAACCTCCTTTCCAGGACTTTGTTCAGACTACTGCATCAATTTTCACGCCAAATGTAATGATGTAGTCAAGTATATAACAAATGATCAACTATTGCTCAAATCTCTTAACTCAGCCAACACATTTTGTTTGTTGGTCAAACTGACTGACAATGATTATTGCTATCCAGATCTTCTTAAAAACCCACATCTAAATTTCAAAATCTCCTTACCCCAAATCACAAGTGAAGGATGTCTATGCGTGGAAGAATTTGCTTGGAATTTGCGGAGCCCTCTTCTTGCTCGTCATGCTGGAGACGGCAGCGGACGACTCTTTATAGCCGAACAAAGAGGAGTTATTTATATATATTACAAAAACAAAACTCGAGAAAGAAGAGCATTCTTAGATATTAAAGACAGGGTATTATACACCAGGTTTATTGCTGATGAGCGAGGCTTCCTCGGCTTGACGTTCCACCCACAGTTTGCACTGAACCAAAGATTCTATGTTTATTACTCGGCCCGGTTACCTAATCGCAGGAGAGAATGCATTCGAATCAGCGAATTTCGGGTCTTTCGGAAGAATAAAAATAGGGCCAACAAAAATACGGAACGTGTTATACTAGAAGTGGAGCAACCGTATGCTAATCATAACGGCGGCGAGGTACGCATTTTTTGTATTAATGCATGCACAGCTCTCATGTTTTTCTTTATTATTTTTTTAATGTCAACGGAAGAGGTTTTGTCATCTATTGTCATCTTCGATTTTTTATCAAAGCTTAAACTAGAGATAAATTCCATTCATCTCCAGATATCTTGGCTAAACGATTACTTCCATCAAGCTGTCAAGAATCCTTTGTAAATATCTCCCTCGTGTTCTCGCATAAATATACAAACAGTATTTCTTAAAGCAACTAATTTGACTTCTACAGAATTTACTTCTGGTTTATACAAAAAAAGACTCCTTTTTTCCCTCTTCCTCTTAAGATAAATATATTGGATAATTCCCCAACTGTATTAGCAAAATAATGAAAAATGTCCCGTATAAAAATAGCTGACTGTACATAAATCGGTTAATTGACAAAAAGAAAATACTTTTCCCTTCTTTCTTTCTTTATTGCGTTCTTTATTTTTACATTAAGTTTCGAAAATTATTTTGTTTCCGTTCAATTTATTTTGGTTGTTTCAAGTTTTATTTTTCAAATATTTATTATGACAATGAATTTCACTTATAAGAAATATTGAAGACAGACTCTATTTCTTTGTGCTACAAAATACTTTTGTTTATTCATCTAAATATGTTATTTTGGATGTACATTTTTAAATTTAATGAGATAGACATATGTGTGTCAATTGTTTGTGGTTATGATAGATGTATCAAAATGTGTCATATATTTTCAAAATCATCGATTTTATTTTTATTTATTTGGTGTATCTCTTATGTGTATGCTTGTTCATATGTATGCTTTTGATAGGAGTAAAATTCTTTCTTTTCATGCTCAGGCAATTATCACTTATTTGTGCATGTGTGGGAGGAAGAAAGAGAAAGAGATGAAAATTGGAAAAGGGTGACGTGTAATATGTTTTGTTGCTTTGTGAGGAATCACATACTTGTGAGACGGTTGATGTATCATCTGTTGTATACACATTATAAACCTGGCCTACTAAAAATTGAAGATAACTATCTATTTTAAGGTACAACAGTGTCATGCTATCCAGTAGAGAATTCACCATACAGAATAAGCTTAGGCAGGTGTTGGCCATTCCCCACAGAGACATGTCCTGCCCAGCACAGCTCCACTGACACAAATTTGTGCAGACATAAATATCCATTTACAAAAATCTTCCTTGCTCAATACCATGTAAAAGTTCTCAGTGATGAAGCTTACTGTCAATAGGTCATTTTCTTTTTGGGTTTTTCCTTCTGCATGTTTTAATGCCTGAAGGGAAGAAACGGAATTGCATGCAGTGTGCCCTTTCCCTGCCATAATATCTGCAAATTCCTTGAACTCTGGATATGGTATTCTTTTATCCAGTGTCCTTGTAACGTATTGGTGCCAGCAGACTATTGCCCAAGCAGAAAGTTTCTGTAGTAATTTTTGGTTTTCTTCACTGTTGATTAAAACCTCAAATCCTCTACATGGGGCATTACATTGTTATATATAGTAAGGAAATCACCAAGTTCTTGGTCAAAATTTCAACCATCTATTAAGTCTTCCTTGTTCTTTGGTTTACAAAAGGGCAGCTGTAGAATTTATTTGGGGTATCCCAAGCATGAGTCTATGTGTCATCATCATTTCTGTAGAATGTTTTTCTTGCATAAAAGAGCTTCTTTTAAGAAGACCCTAGTCTTGCAGAGGTTACAACTGTAGTAGTCAGGGAAGTATCTTAGTGAAAATCTAGTCCACCGCAACAGTTCTGAGGAAGAAGCTGAGTGGAACTTATTCCTTACCAAAGGGACATGATGGGAATTGAGATATTTGCCACTGTAAACATGGCATAGAATGTCCTAGCTGTGGAGGTCTTAGCTGGTAGGGGCATTCAAATGAAATAAAATTATTTTTTCTGATGAGACTTGTTCATCAGTAAAATATGTCAAAATAAAAGATTTAATTGTCTTATATATTTACTATTTCATTGGGTCCTCATCTAACTTATATGTGTACATATGTTTGTGTCTGTAGCTTTATGTATTACTACTGTTTTAGGATAGAATTTCATAATCTCTAGAGAAACTAACATAAATCTTAAACTAAATATTATTTCTTGTTTCTGAAAGTTTTTCTTTGCTTCAGCAAACCTCTACATTTATATTCATAAAGATTATGCAGTGCAAAAACTGAATTTCCATTGAGGAAATAGATTAGATTGAGTGAAATTCTAAATACATTAATCAGATTTTTTAGATCATAACTAAGGAAAATCTCTAAAATTTCCCAGCTCATGATATATGAGATAATTAATTTATGTTACATAAAATATAAGATTTTTTAGATTATTTTTAGTATACCTTAATAATGAATATATGAATTGGATTGGAATTTAGATAGCATTAAATGTTCCTATCCTTGCTGAGTGTTGATTTCCAATTATCATTATTCTGGAACTCAGGACAGAACTTCTGACACATCCTTTCTCAAAGTTGTAATCGCCAAAATCAGAACAATTTCACATCATGGAGTTTACTTGTGAAACAAAGATTTAACAATTAACTAAAATTTTCTGTCATCATTTTTCACTAAATAATATCATTTTCTAATATTTTGAGATTGAATTTACTTCTCTTAAGAGAGTTGATGCACTGTAGAATTTTGCATTTTACCAATAATGAACTGTACTACTTTCATTATATAATGTGGCATATATGATGAAAATAATTCTTTAAGTAATTTGTTACTCAAAATTATATAGGCCAATTGGATATTAAATATGAGTTTGTTTCCCTGAGATACAGATATAATTCATTATTAATTGGCAAACTGCCAACAACTGGCTAACTACTAGCTGTCTTCTTTGTTGACTTCTTACCATTTTCATTTTATTAAAACAAATATTTTCAATCAGCATGAAGCCTCTTCAGTTAATTTTATTCATCTTATCCACATTTAACTGAAACAAACATAAAAATATAAGCTGCTGATGAAAGAATCAGCTAAAAATACAATCTTTCTTGACTACATTGTAATAATCAAAAGTTAAAATTATGTCACACATTGAGAAAAACATGTTCAGTTGATTTATAATTTTGGAATTACATTAACAGAAACATTCATTATCCAACTTTTAAATCTATTTCTGACAAAGCAAAACATTTCTATGAAAATTTCTTAAAATGTGACCTCATAATATTATTGAACAAATGCTGAACATATGTAAAGGGAAATGCCATTCATTGAACAGTTTTGGTATTTGTGCCTGGTTTTAATAAACCACAACTAAAGCATCAACTGAAGGCCTTTGCTTCCATGTAAATGAAAACTAGATTACTCAGAAAAAAAAACAACAGCTAGTATCTATTTCAGAGATTTTCATTTCTATTTGACATCAGAAATGGAAAAAAAATTCTGAATAAATGTTTCTAAATATCTAAACACTGTAAAACAAATAAATGGCATGAATTTTTATTTACACTTATATCATGAATTTCCTTTTTAACCACTCATGGGAAATTTTTATTTAATTAAAAATATTCATCAAAAATAATGTTCATTATCTATGAAGTAGATATTATTATATTATAATGCATTATATTATATTAGTAACTAACACTTGTAGAAAGCATAGAACTAATCATTTTGGCTTACATTATTCCTATATCTGATAATCACAGACATTGTTTTACTTCTATAATTACTACAAGCTAGTAATAGGATTCAAGGTGTTTGCAACATTTTGTGCAAAAGATTCACTAAAACTATTCATATTCACAGAAATTTACTTTATATATTGGTTTATTTTCATTAAAAAAAATTGTGATGTGAAAAGAGAGAATCTATTTCTAAAAAAAATTAATCCCACCACTGTTACAAGCTTAAGATAAAATTCCTAATTTTTATATATTAGATTCATATTTTAGATTATTGTTTCAACAGCCTTGAGAACTTCATTACTGTTACCAAAGATACTTGTTTTACTGAATTTGGATAGTTTATATATAATTCTAATTTTTTCATATCATTATTATCATGATCATTTATTGAATGATAGTCAAATGATTACTTCATCATTTGTAGAAAAATAAATCTTGTAGAGTAGGCCAACTTTGACACAAGGCTATATTCACAGAGTGCCAAAAGAAAATTTTTTAATGGTTTTAATGTAATATTTGGTGAATTTTCCTTACTCTTCCTTAATTAGTATGCACCATGTTTGTCTAGTCCTGTGATCCTTAATAGCCAGCCAGTGATGCTCAAGTTTGGACAGCAAACAGTTTTAGGGTAGACACCAAGAAGAGAAGATTCTTTCCAGAAATTTTTTTCAATGGTTTTCACCCTGTGCAAGGCTCAAGAGCCACTCGAGATGCAGGGTTACATATAAAGAGGCAGAGTTTATTGGCATATGAGAAGATAACAATTGACCTGAGACTTGAACAGTTTAGGAATGTAGTGTTCGGGAAGCATCCTCTGGGAGTTTGTTCCACAAACCAGTGGTGCATGAAAAGAAGCTGCTCAAGTGGAATATAAAGTAATGAGGGTGGTTCACTACAGTATGCATGGTATGGTGAGTTCTGTCTATGATGGTTAGAACTGGTAAAACTGCGGAATGTAGTTCATTTGAACACTTTACATGGAAATAGCAATAGATCAGTAAGAGGATTGCGACATTTCATCCGCGTGAAAGAGGTTGTAGGGTAGAAGATAATTTGTCACCCACAAGGACACAGAGATGCTTTTGGACTCTATCGAGACTGGAAAGTAAGACTTGGCTGCTCCTACCCATATATGGCAGCAGTACTCCATTTTTGGCCTGATCTGGCTCTTGTAAAAGTAAATAACTGGAGTAAGGTACTTACTTGTACATACAATCCATCAATAGTAACCTCAGGACCATTTATAATAGTAGGGACTAGCACATGAAAAATATAAACAGTGTCTTGAAGCATGACATGCTGGATTTTGGAGTAAGGACTGGATTTTGTAATATTTACTAGCATTCCTTTCCAGG